CAATGGTTACAGCTTTTCCATAATTATCAAAATATTTTATTCTGTGTTCAACAAGACAGAAATATGTGAACTATCCCTTCTAGACATTTTCAGATATAATTTTATATTTATTCTTTAATAAATGAAACATCATCTAAAGTTCAGAATCATCTATTTATAGGTGTATTCCTCTTTGTAACATTTAAAACAGTTTTTACTGTCATTTGAATGCAGTTTTGGCCTAAATAGTTCATTCAGATTTTAATAAAACAAAATGGTTTGCTTCATGCAAACACTTTACAGTTTATCTAAAATGAATACTCTCTTATTTACTCACCTTTGTGTCAGTCCTAACCTGCATGACATTGTTTAGCCTGTGAGGAAGCCTTGTTTTTATCAATACACAGCAAGTCACTGGGTTACAGTGTTTCTTTAATTAACTTCTTCTGTGCTCAACAGTAAGTCATGACAGTGAACTCAGGGATGAACTGTGCCTTTAAGAGTGCAAGAACAGCATAGAGTAGTAGAAGCAGGGTGGAGAAATTGAAAAGCTAAACGGTGGAGACAACAGCCCATATCGGTATAAGAGAGAGAGAGCAAGAAAAGAGAAACCGAGAGATGAAGAGGCAATGGGAGGAGGACGCTTAAATAGTCTGCAATAAAGCAGAGCACTGAATGAAAATCTATACGCCGAGGCATTCATTAGCACTCGTTTGATTAATAGAGAAGATAAGGCGACACTAACACACACGCACACACACTGAAAGACAGCACAGCCACACCCATACAGACGCAGACCAATAAGCCCAAATGTCTGCAAAAACAGACAATGAAGCTGCATTCACAGTCAGACAGGACAGAGCTTTTCCACACAGCTCTATTGCTGCTGAATAACTACAGACGGAACATCGCATTCACTCTACACCATCTCTCTCTCTGCCTTTCGCCTGCTTTGTGATCACTCCATCCTGCTCATTCATCCAGTACTTGCTTGCATCAGTCCAGAGCCATGCGGATGAATTATTGATGATCGTACCTTCATAAAGGAGCCAAACAAATGGGGGAAGTGAGTGAGGGAGAACGAGTGAGCCAAAGACGACTTTACAGTCCAACAACAAATTAGTTTACACTCTTTCTTTGTTTCCAAAAATCAGCAAGGACTCAACCCTAATCCAAAGAGCTGTTCCTAAAATAAGTGTTTTATTTTTATATATATTTATTTTTGGACGGTGCGAGAGTTTACGTCACTGCTCTGGAGCCGCATGTGTGATGGATTTCAGCACCATCTGTGGTGGACAGCGACGCGCCAGAGCACTAGCTCAGACCCGCAGGCTGAGCACCGATAGCTCTGGACAGCACCTGCTCTTACATGCTGGACACTTTCTGTACAGTTCAGCCACCAAATGAAACACACCCAGGGCTGCATGATTTGAACCTGGCCTCTGACCAGCTCTGTTGATTACAGTGATTGCAGAGAGTTTGCTGCAAGAGCAACAAGGTGAATGCTCATTTTGTGAAATGGCACATAAGTGACTCGCTAGTGAGAGGCTTTAGGAACTTTGAAGGACTTAGATTGGTTTGTTGGCTGTTTAGAAGTGTGAAGTGATGCCAGCTGCAGCAAATATGTGGAGTAGAAAGATATATTTGGCAGTTAATATATGGAATAGTGGCTTGCGTACTGAAAACATTTGTACGCCTAAATGTTAACTGCACTTTAATGGAAATGACATACAACAGCCTATAAGACACATAACTTGTAAAATAATTTCCTAACTATTTCCAAACTATTTTCTAACTATTTGTTCCTAACTATTTGCCAACGCACGCCTCCCACCAGTGCCGATATACAGCCATATCGCACTGCTACTCGTGTGATATTGCTCATATGTGTATACACTGTTAGACCTTACCGGGCTTTTTTACGGTAGAATACTGGCAACACTGTTTATTAATTAATTTATTTTTTATATATACTCAATCTACTCTGTCTTCATTTTGAGTATTGTACTGAATCAGATTTTCCCCCAGTCTTGGGTTGCAGCTGTAAAACATATGCTGGATAAGTTAAATGAATCAGATTTGGATGTGGTCTTTGACAAAACCCCAATAAAACGTATCCTCACCCACATTTCAAAATCTTAAAAAATGCATGAAGGAAAATAATATACATGTTGTGTTTGTAAAAAAAAGATTCAGTTGGATGTTCAGATTAAAATGAAAACATTGTAAAAATGATCAAAATCTCTTTTATTTTTGGCAACATTTTTTTTTTCAATTACATTTCGTGTTCCATATTACTTGACTGACAATAATTTCTCGTCAGTTATATTGTTGATTAATGCTGGTCGCAGGTGCATTTGCAGGAACAGATGTGACTGATGTGAACTCAAGAAGAGTTACTGTGTTACTGTGTCGCTGCTGTGTCCTTGAGAAAAGCACTTAACCCAATGATGCTCCACAGGGGCTGCCTTTACTGTTAGCTGTCTGCTAATGGCAGATAACAGCGCCTTGACTTTGATTTGTGCAAGGGTGTAATGTTTAAGTTATTTTAGAGGTTAAAAGCCACGTGACTTACAGAATAAAGCTCTGGACTCTGGTTAAAGGTTATTTTATTTTATTTTATTTTATTTTATTTTATTTTATTTAACTTTATTTTATTAATTTTTTTAAATTATTTTTATTATTATGTTTTATTGTTTATTTTATTTTTTTATTGTTTAAATATTGTTTATTCTTTCTTTCTTTCTTTCTTTCTTTCTTTCTTTCTTTCTTTCTTTCTTTCTTTCTTTCTTTCTTTCTTTCTTTCTTTCTTTCTTTCTTTCTTTCTCTTTTCTTTCTCTATATAGATGCTTTTGGAGTACCTACAACTAAATACTTTGAATTTGGAATTGAAAGCAGTGGTTTTTTTTATATAATTGTTTTAAAATATATTTTCTATGATTTAGAATTTCTGTAATCATTAAACTAATATGCTACTTTGGGAATATTTTCAATAAACTACATTAAAATGTGAAGCAGTGCTTGAACACGTGTATGGATTTGAGTAGCAAAAGCAGAACAGAAGTTAGTAATCTTGCTGTGACACATCTGGTTGGTGTCTGTGCGAAGGATACGCTTGATTTGATCAGTTTTGTGGCTGGTTTGGGTGGTAGTTTCAGATTTGTCCTTGCGTATGATGGATGGTCATGAAGGGTGTGTTGACAGAGGGGTGACCTGAGATGAAGAAAGACTTGATGATGTTCAGCTTGAGTGGTCAGCGAGGTGCTAGAAAACCATGCTGAGATCTTCTCTGTGGCCTGGAGTTGTGTAGGAGGAAATGAGTAGAAAGTGGAGTGTTGTCTGCATGACAGCAGCAGCAGCATAAAGTGGCATGCAATTCAGTGGCTTAATCAAGTGATCTAGTGCAATCATCATCATTGATGATATGTGATTATGTGGTTGAAAGGTACCAGGGTTCAAATGTCAAGTGATTTCTCTTTTCACTAAACTAAGTAGCAGGGCATAATCTGGATACTTTGGGACTTGAGTGATTTACTCTTAAGACAAAATCACATTCAGGTCAAAATCTTCAAATGGATTACTTGGAGATCTGCTTGAAAAAAGTAAAAACTTCTAAACCACATTAAAAATGTTTCTTAATTGTTAGAAATAATATCTTATTTGTAAATACTATTGAATATTAATTTAATTGTGACTATTAAGTAAAACTTGTTATGTTTTTAAATTTTAAGCTGCATCATATTCACCTTATGAGTTAATTGAACTTATATTATGTTAAACTGACTTAAAACAACTTGCATAACGTATAAAATTAAGTTAAAATATGATTAACTTAGTTTAATAAGTAACAATGACCTAAAACATATGCTGTCAGAACTAATTGATCATGTATTTTTTATAGTGTACTAGTAACATATTTAGTTATACTTAATCATTGACTTTTTATTATCTCTTTAATTTTGACTAGTATGTCTCCCAAATGTGACTAGAAGTCATTCATTACTTATTTTAGATACTAGTACATATTACTAGATACTACTACGTCATTGTTAGATACTGGTATTTATTTCATATTTAAAAACTATTAAGTAGTTAAAATAGATTTGGTTTTGAGTAGAGCGTAATAGACGCTCATTTAAAAAAAAGATATTAATTCCTATTTTACAACCAGAATTGCATCAAAACATAAAAAAATTGCATCAGAATTGAGTTGTGTATTATCTTCTATATTCTTGCATACAATATAAATAATTAATTGATAGTTTTGCACTCAATTTGATGGTTGTCTTTTGTTTAAATTACTGGTTCATAGGCTTAACAAAAATGTGTTTTTGTTTATTATTTTAAGTACTGCAATCAAGCATGAACAAATCTTATGCAATATGGACAATTAATGCAGCAATATTACAGTTTTGTTCATTTTCATATTTCAATTGTGACAGCTATACTAGAATTAGAAGCTTTTTTGTGCTTCTTGATCATTTTTTTTTTCATTTTCTCCTTATTTGTAATTTCCACCAAATTATTATAGTGATAAAGATGATTTATGCACCAAATCATCAATAAAGAATGATTTCTGAAAGATTATGTAACACTGAAGTCTGGTTAAACTAATCTTTGTTCTATATACATAAATGACATATTATCATTTTGATTTTACTGTATTTTATTACATTATTCTTAATTTATTTTATAAAATAAATGCATCCCCGGTGAATACGACTGTTAAAAACATCAAAAAATCTTTCCAACCCCAAATATCTGAAAAATAACGTTGCCAAACCAAGAGAAATTTGGCCTATGTTGAAGAAGAGTCGGAAGCGTGTGTCTGCACAGTAAATCTCAGCAGTATTGTCAGATGTGAGCTGCTCTCAGGAGATTGGCAGGGTGCGCAGGCAGGCCGTAGGCTGTCACTATTGTATGAAAATGAATGACTAAAGTTTCCTACAGTACTTTGTTGTTGATGCGGCGCACCATATTTTCTCTTTTTTCATGATTTCCCTGTTTTCTTCTCTCTGCAGACGGTGCGTCATGGATTCCCCTATCAGCCCACAGCTCTGGCATTTGACCCGGTACAGAAGATCCTTGCCATCGGCTCTCGTTCTGGAGGAATACGAATGTATCCTTTTCTCTCTTTTCCTCAGTGATCCAGTGCTGTTTCCTCCACAGCGTAATTTCAAGATTTCAGGGGGACTTTTGGGCATTGGGATGGCTACTGTCAGAGGTAAGGTATAATGCTGTCATGTTTCCTGACTTTAAAGACCTCCCTGTGGCATAGAGGGGTGTAAGACCGTTTGACTGAGTCCCAGAGGAATCTCCTCACAGTGTTGCCAATGCATTAATACTGAGAATGACTGACAGGAAAAAAGAGAGAGACAGACAGAGAGAGTGAGACACCATCTTCCAACATAGTTGGATAAATAATGGATAAACATGAGTATTGGGCACTAACAGAAACCCATATTAGCTTTAGCTTAGCAGTGTTTTTGTCTGAAATTTCTTTGGCAGCATTATTGAACAGTCTCGAGCTGAATCTGTGCCTGCAAAACTCCACAGAAAATTAATTATTGAATCAAATCAGTGTTCTTGCCTTACCAGAAAGCTCACTGATGTCTGTATATATAGTGCTCAGCATAAATGAGTACACCTCTTAAACATCTTTCTTTTAGATTTAGTTTTTCTAGAAGATGATTTACAATAATAAAGTATATTGGTGCATATGCATTAGATTAGTCAGTACCAAAACTAAAACTGGAACTGATGTATATAAAATTAAATAAAAATGAGATCACAGTCCCAAGAACAGTACACTCAAATTAATGTGTTGGGGAAAAATATTTAATAAAAGTTTAAAAAACACCAAATAAGTGAAGTTTATTTATAAGCTAATTTCGAGAGAGAGGATTGCTTGCAGCTGATCCCGCATTATCCAATTTATGAATTACCAATCAGACAATTTCTAACCCACTATAAATACCTAAGTTCCACATAACAGACATCTTAGTTTTGAAGAATTTCCCCCCTTCCACCCCTACTTCTCCTTTCCTAGATGGGTGGCACTGTTTCTTCACAGCAAGAATGTCATTGTCTCTAGTCCTTACCAAGCCAGCCGACATTTCTGTGCGGAGTTTACACATTCTCCCCATGCTCGTGGGTTTCCCCCGGGTTTCCTCGGTTTCCTCCCACCGTCCAAAAACACGCAACTTAAGTTAATTAACTAATTCAAATCAGCACCATAGACAAGCTAGTAAGTAGTTATCTCTTAAGAGCAATCTTTATCTGTTCATTAGCTACTACAGCAGGGAAGTTCTCGAGATCTACCTGAGCTGAAACTCCCCTCTTGCCATGCAAATGGGAGGGAGCCCTGGGGACAAGGATCTTACGAGCTCAGGGCTCTCTCCCGGGACAGCATGCCAAACAAGCTTTATAATCAATCATCAGCTAAGTGTGAACTCTTGAAACACAAATCAACAGAAACATAAAAGAATATCAAGTTTTGTTTGTTTAAATGCATTATTTTTTCTATTTCTTATTTTAATGCATTTAGCTGTTTAATAAAACATGAATAAACTGATTTGTATAAATGCACCAAAAATTATTATTTATATTCGCTGAGAAATGCATATAAATATTCATTTTCAAAAGGGGGTGTGCTTATTTATGCTAAATAATAGATAGTTTGGTAAATTGTTGTAATTAGTGATAATAAAACTATTTAACATATCTTTATTCCTTTTATTCATTATTTATTTCAATATATAAATCCATTCCAAACAATTCTCTAGGTTTTCCTTAAAAATCACCTTCCAATATATTTAAGGTCAGCTAATTTCACTTGGGTCTTATCAGGCAATATCAGAATGAATGCCAGTATAGATGTAATGAACATAAACTGACAGAAGTGAGACATTTCAAAATTTGGATCATTTTGAAGAGAGAATCTGTGATTTGATTTTTGGCGTGTGTAATTTATTTCCTCAGCCGCATGAATAAATTAATCACGTTCCTTTAACCCGATGCCAGCACTTGTGCAGCTCAGATGTTTGGAGTGTTTTATGATTAGGAAACATCGGCTGAAAAAATGTTTTTTGGTTTGTCCTCAATATTCCTGCTGTTTATTTGGTTAATCGTAAGAGGATTCCTTGCAGTTTTGAGAAAATAAATTGTGTGCAGAGAATCATGCATTGCAAGAAGTAGAGAGAAGAAATGCCTAGAAATCATGTGCCAGACAGATGAAGCGATAAAAGGAGGAAGGAGAAAAGAGAGATAGTGAGCCATTTTTGCATCACAGTGAATTAGCTTTGTGCTAATTATGGAGCTGTCATTACTGTAGATAACTATGGACTGTGTTACTTAACTGTAAAAGCATGACTCGACCTGTCTCTCTCCCAGTCTGTCTATCCTATTCAGAGCTTATTCTGAGTTTTTGCTCCACGTTTTTTTTTCTGTCCATCATTGTACCACATGACATTAAAAGAAGCAGCTTTGACTCTGTTTGGAGTCGTCTCTGTCAGCTGATTGTTTTCAGTGGTCTATTATAAAAGAAGAAGCAGTTTAACAAGTAACAGGATTCCAACTATACATTTTAGTACTTAGTTCTGTGGTTAAGCAGTTTCATCACAACTTTGCAATAATTTTGCCCTACTATTTGATCTTCAATGATATTTAGACTTCATTATTTATTTATTTTAGAGGAAACCCACGTGAACACGACTCGAACCATCTTTCTCTGAGGCCACAGTACTAAGCCACCGTGCCGGCTTCATCAGTAATCTTTAATGTGTATCAGTTAATGGTAATCTTTTAAAACTCCAATGATTTGACAACACTGTTAACACTTTTAAAGAGGTTTTATGATGCTATTTTGCTTTTGTGGATGTACTAGGATGTGTTAACGTGCTTTAAACATCCCATGAAGTGTTTTGAAATTTGATTTGTATGCAAAGTTTGAAGTAATCTCAACTGAAAAATGAAGAAAGAATGGGAGAGTAGCTCCTTCTCTTCAAAAAAACCAATAACCTCCGGGACTCACAGGTCCAAAGATATGCGCTATAGGTGAATTGGGTGAGCTAAATTGTCTGTAGTGTATGTGTGTGAATGAGTTGCAGCTGGAAGGGCATTCATTGCGTAAAATATATGCTGGATGAGTTGGCGGTTCATTCTGCTGTGGCGACCCTGGATTAATAAAGGGACTAAGCTGAAAAGAAAACAAATTACTGAATATTATAAGGCCTTTATTGACATAGCTATTCCTTAACACTGTGCCTAAGTTTTGAATTTAAAACAACATCAACCATTACAACAACAACAACAACAAAAGAAACAACAACAAATAAATAAAATGATATATGCCCCCAACATTTAAGGCCTGAAAACAGACAAAACGAAACAAAGCAAAATGAAATTAAATGAAACAATCACCATTTTCTATACCACTTCTAAACACCATATGCATGTGTTGGAAAAGACCTTACCCAGCAAGCATTTTTCAGGCATTTTTTTTAGATGTCTAATATACGTTTAAACTTAGTCGTTACTGAGGCTAAATTTGAGCTGTCGGTGAAAATCTAATAGTCTAAGTCTAGGAAAAGGCCAAAACTAGTCTAGAAATAGGCCAAAACTAGACTGGTCATCAAATAAATAGAAATAAATGACTAAACATATAAAGTCTGTCTAATCTGTCTATTTGACCTCTAGTCAAGTTTTAAGACTATTCTTAGATGTCTATTAGATTTTCACTGACAGTCCAAGCTTTGCCTTGTTAAAGCCAAGCTGTCTACGTTTAGTTGTCTATTAGATGTATATTAAACACAACAATGTTATCTCCATTTTCACTTTCCAAGGCTTATAAAGCAAATGTACAGATTATTGTTTAATAAAACTCTCAGTTTGAGGCAGAGTCAGATTCTGACATCGCTTATCAGAACAATGATCTAGATGTATTATATGCTGTGAATGTTAGTCAGAGTGCTTTGTTTGATTAAATCTCTTTTATGGGAGACTTTTTGAAGAAAACATTTCCAAACAGCACACTGGGTTTTTAAATATACTTCATTATTGCTGTTATGGCTAAATTTACTTACAGAATTTGAAATGAACAACAATAATAAATAGAATTCCCACTTCTTGGCGCAATGTGTTTATTTCAGATTAAGGTTGCCATTTTGCTCACCTTCCTTGCTTGTTTCTGGCTCTTTCTTTCTGACTTTGGGCGGAATGGTATATTTAGTTCTTGTTCAGAGCTCTGTATTGATTGAGCGCGTCCAAAGTTAAACATTCACACTGCACTATTGATTATCAAGCTCTCTGTGCACTCACTGCATACACTGTCTGCAAATCATTTTTATAGGGGAATACTCTACAAGTGCGTTGATGAGTTTGAATTTGTGCTCATTTCATAAAGATTTGTAAAAAGAGGTAAACAGCATCTCTTTTTTTAGAGCTTATGAAAGAAAGACAGCCCTGTATGTACAGTGTATAAGAATAGGCACCATGCTGATGTAAGCAAGAGGCACATCATATTAAGTGGTTTTGTTGATGTCATCTGTGTGTGTGTGTGTGTGTTGTGATGCAGATCTTGGCAGGCTGGCAGTATGCAGGACTCAGATTGGTGTGGCATTCACTTCACTGCAGTCTTCCTACTGCACAAGCTCTGTGAAGGAAGACAAACAATCATTCTCATGCTAATCCAATGAGGTCCTTCTGTAGTTGTGGAAAGAAGGCAGTATTATAGAATCAAACACACATGAAATATCTTCGGTTTAAGCATAATAAATGAAAATATTTTTCGCAAATGACTTTATACCAGTGGTGTAGGTTGTTCTTGAATGCTGTTGAGATCCATAAATTGTAATTAAATGGAAATGTTTAAAAGGATTGTTCACCCAAAACTGAAAATTGGCTCATCGTTTACTCTCCCTCATGTAGTTTAGTTCTTTATGAGTTTCTTTCTTCTGTTAAACACAAAAGAAGATATTTTGAAGAATGCTGACTCCTATTGACTTTTATAGTGTTTGATGCTGTAATGGCCTGGTATTATTATTTGTTACCACGACAACTGCATATGCTTCTGCACATTCTGCTTGTGTGTATGGATGGAAGATGTGCCACAGTTCATCAGATCACAGGAACACTTACCAACTA